ATTTTAAACAGGTGAATTTATTTTGATATTTTGGAAGAAATTGAAGAGTAAATTGTAAAGTTGGCAGACTATTTTAAGAAGTGCAGGAAGTTCAGTGGCTAAACTCATAGTTTAACCATTTTTTCTTTATGAGAGAATTATAAACTCTCTCTCCGTGCTGCAGATTGTATTTTTTTTCCAGTTTTCCTCCTCCTCTCAACCCCCTTTGAACTCCGAACTACTCACCGTCCGGCGTCCGTTTGACGAACTGAAACCACCATCGTGTTCTTTATCGACCGATGAACAAAAACCCTCAAACCTTTCGTCGTGAATCCTCATCGTTTGTCGTTAATTTCAGTCGGAAGTATCATCGATTTTAACTCGATTTCAGTTGGTTTTTCATCAAGTCACGTCGACTCACGATGATCCGACCATCCGTTTTTTACACCTCCCGCACCATCGTGTTCCTTGTGCCATTTCGAGTCTGTCGGTGTCCTCCTTGCCTCTGTCGGCGGCGGCACGTGAGGAGGTGAAGCGGTCAAAGTTTAGGATTTGTTGAAATCGAGCTCTCCACTGTTCAAAATTGTGAACTGAGCTTTGTAAGTGCCTCAAAATCACTTAAAATAATTTTTCAGAATTTTTCAGGGAATTTTCCGACACTGTATCACTGTTCACGTGCCACCCCCAAGAGTGAGCATAGTCTGGCCGTAGGGTGTTAATTTTGTAATTAATTTATATTTGGGTGCTATTTGTATAAAAACGCGGGTGTTAGTTTTGTAAATATTTTTATAAGGTGGCTAATTTTGTAATTAATTTCGTTTAGGGTGATATTTGTGTAAAATGATTGACTGTTGACCGTTGACCTGCGTTGACCACTGTTGACTGGCGTTGACCGGGCATTAAACAACCTTTGATTTTGACCGGGTATACCTATTCTGACGTTTTTTGACGTCCTGAATGTGTTTTTGGGGTTTGTTTCGCCAAATTCGAACCCGATAAGTTGGTTTTCACTGATTAATCACCTTATTCGTTCCGTTTTTCGTAATTAAGCCTCGTTTTTTATGAAATGTTTATTGATATGCATCTGAGGAATTATTGAAAGATGATTTCAAGATCGAGGCGTTCGAATGGAATTTAATGGTATATCAGTATGGTACGAAAAATGAGGTAATACTTTACTACCTATTTATGCTTTATGGAACATGTGAATATTGGTAAATGCATGAATAAGATAATGTTGGTCTCATATGTGTAGTTAATTAATTTCTACACTCGATCCGAATATGATAAAAATTCGGTAAGTGATTATGGTTCAGATGACTTTTATAAGAAATAGATGGATTGTTAGAATTAAAATTGCAAGTCCTGTGTTTAGTGATAAAGAAATCAGCTTGGATTTGTAACATATAATTTATTTCATCAAATGTACTTGGATGGGAAATTATGAGAATATTTCGGTAGGGTATAATTTCAAAAATACCCTTATGTTGTAAGATGATAAGAATGGTCTTTGGAAGTTGACTAATAACTCTGAAAGGATATATTGATCTGATAAAACTACAGATGTGCATAAGAAAATCTAGTTTGCTTAGAAAATTTGGATAACCGGGTTTTAACCCAATATGGTTTATGCAAGATACTAGAAGTCTGTTAAGGAATCATTATGAGATCAAAGAAAGTTCAGGAAAGCAATTATCCATTGGATCTCTAAAGTATAATTATTTTCGTTAAGAGTTAATACCGAAATTATCTAGTTAAGAAATTACGAAAATGCCCTTAAAAGGTAAAAATAGTCCAAGTTGACTCTAAATAAGAAAGTGACATGAGAATTTCTTTTTAAACCGATAAATTACTGATTTGATTGTTGAGATCCTATTTTTGTATGGAAAATTCCTGATAATCTGTTAGTAACATCTGAGAAGGCATTTAACACAGAAATCTCCGACTTGAGTATGTACATAAAGAATAATAATTTATCAATGGTGATATTTTTTCAGAATTTTTCGAAATAACTAAAATAATGATAAGTTTGAATTCGATAATGAGATCAGATGGAAGAAAATGATTGTAATAAACTGGATCTGTAAAATGACCAGAATACCTTGGAATGAAAATGACCCAAGAATAGTACTAAGCTCAGGAATGATTGGATATCCTCGAGCTCTGAAATTAATAGAATAAAATCAAGCACCAGAATGACCAAAATACCCTTATGCCCTAGACTAAGTAAATGTTTTGGACTAATTAAGTAATCCAAATAAACATGAATGTTGTTCTACCCTTAAAATTTATGGAACATAGCTGAAGTGAGCCGATCAACCCCAATAATATGTCAGTACCTGAATGACATAAATATCGTTTGAATGTGTGTTCGTCTTCTCAAGTTTGGAACGATGATAATTCTGGAAGTACTTGGCTCAGCTCGACTCTAGAGCGCATACAGTACTAAGAAGTGGGTATTCGTGAGACAAATCAACCACGAATATTATAATGACTTTATTATATGATTAAATTGAACTGAAATGAAGTACAATATATATTTGAAATTCAGAAAAGTCTGAAATACGTTGGAAAACTCTGAAGAAATCGGGATAGACTTGATTGCTAAATGTACTAAGTAACCTCGATGACTGAGGATTAAGTAAGTGATTTGGATAAGTTTGGAAACTCTGATGAATTTGCGTAGTGTACTATTCCTATGGATAATGAACCATAAATCAAGTACGTTGACCTTTCCTAATACCGTTGAAATGTAGAAATGAAATAACGACCGTGGAATATCTGTTCGTTCCCTTAAGTTTTATTCAGTGATGATTCTGAACAGAATCTTTGGATAATAAATTTTGTATTAAAGAGTGAGTACTTTTGAAAGGCAAGGATTTGATCAGTCAACTGGTATCAGTTCTAGGAGTTGTTTGATAATCCGATCGATCAATATAAATGGTAAATGCCCTGAATGTTCGTTTCTCCTTTATCATCTCAAATCACTTCAATCATGTCTGATTCACACAAGTAACTCAAATGTAAAGAATTTTATATATTTCAACTTTGTTGAGTAATGAAATTACTCCCCATAAATATGAATCTATAACTCATATGTATAAATGTTCATGAATACCTTCCTGATACACTTGAATCATAGTGGAATTCTAAAGTATCGGTTTTAATATCTGATTTGAACGAATAGTAATTGACTCCTTTTTAATAGGATCTCGTGCCTGGGATTGATCAAAAGACATCAATTTCATATTAACTATGCTGATAACTACAAAATGCCTCTGATAAGTACTGGGATTTCTCTAGTGTGTTCCTTATTTTATAATAAATTGTTTTGTTGTTTTAACATGAGGTACACTGAAATCTATGGTTACTGTTTTATGGATGCACCGACTTAATGGTGATGGCTTATTGATTTGTATCACAATATAAATTGTATCTTGGAGATACAAATTTGTATAGTACAACTCTGATCAAGCTGGAAAATTTTTATGGACCTAATGTGACTCTTAGGTAGGCTCTGCGGCCCTGAGATCATTCTTGGGTAGGCCCTGTGGCCCTACTATGTGTTCTTAGGTAGGCCCCATGGCCCCGAACTTTCTTGGGTAGGCTCTCAGACCCTAATATGTTCCCTTAGGTTAACTCTTTATACGATGGTTTTAAAATACGAGTTTAAAAAGCTCAACTACAGTATGGTTTATGAGATTTACTGAACTATCATTTTATTAGTGTACCTATTATGATTTTTATCGTACTGTTGGAACACACTAGACACCCTTTTCAATCTCTTGAAAATGTGATAATATGAATGCTTCCTATGAACTGAGATATTTATGGCTTCTATTCGTTGAACTACAAGTGGAACTCTTGATTATTCCGAAAACCGAAATACATTTGATTAAATAAGAAATGATATGGCTTTCTATTTATTGGCATGTCTTGCAGCAGCATCTGGTAGTTCTGTATTACTGAGCTTTTTGAAGCACACTCTATTACTCACCATTGCAGGTTAAAAGAATCGTACCAATGCAACTATCAACATCAGTAAGGGAGTTCTTCCGGCGTTGCTTGCAGAGTATGGTACATGTGAATAGGGGGCATGTTGATTGTATTTTATTTTATATATGAGTCTGAAAATCTATTTTACTTTTGAATAATGATAAATGATTTTATAAGTTACATATTTTAATTAAAGTTTTAAATTTTCCACTGTTTTTACAGTGGGTTGCTCCGGTGGCCTTAATGTGACACTCCAGATTGGATCGGGCTATCCGCATTGGTCTGAGGAGGTTACATTTAGTGGTATCAGAGCTTTGGTTTGAGGCAAAATTTTGAAGATAGACCGGTCGTCAAATTTCAAAAAGATATTTGATTAGTACATGCCCCTAGACTACAATTGTACTTCTCTGAGCTGGAACTCCAAGGCTAAATTATCTATAACGAGCAAACCTAAGTTTTTATCTGTTAAGACTCTACATTTGCATAAAGGAATACTAGTAACGTCTATTTGAATTTTGTAAGTACCTCACGAGCCATATGAGAATTACTTATTTGAGAAATTCTGACTCGACTCCGGGAATGAAATTGGGATATACTACTGCTCTATGAGCCTATTCTCATGACCAAGACTGAATTGATTACTTAAGGAAATTTTCGTTCGGATTCTTTTATTGAAATGAAGAAAAGTTGTGATAAGAATGTATGCTCAACTAGTTAAGGATTAGTGGAGGATTCGTACTTTTGTAAAAGCTACTTAAAGATATGAAAGAACTGATGGAAGTTTCATTTCTGCAATAATGTGACATGAATGAATTTCGATGACGAAATTCTTTTAAGGGGGAGAATTGTAACACCCCAATTTAGGGGCTAAATTTTAGAATTTTAAACTGGTAAATTTAATTTGATATTTTGGAAGAAATTGAGGATTAAATTGTAAAATTGTAAAGTTGGCAGACCATTTTAAGAAGTGCAGTGGCTAAACTCATAGTTTAACCATTTTTCTTTATGAGAGAATTATAAACTCTCTCCCCGTGCTGCAGATTGTATTTTTTTTTCAGTTTTACAAAAAAATTCAACTGGTAATTATTATCATGCACTATCGGTATCCCATTTGTCGGGACCCCGAGTTGCATGACCACATCCTCCAGTGTTATCGTACATTCTCTACATGGTAAATGAAACGTTTGTGTCTTTGGTCTCCAACGTTCAATCAACACAATGATCAAACCCGAGACCGACTTGAACTCTCAAACAAAAGTAACATGGTAAAATCCAGTCTGTTGCAAGTTATCTTTGATCAACTCGTGTGGATTCCTATGAATATTAATTCAATTATGGAGGACTCGTTGTGAGTTTTCCTACAATTAATTAAATCATGAAATTAATCAATTATCATAAAACATTTAATAACAACGATTGTGTTATCAAGTAAAATATAATAATTTTATTAAACTAAATAATAATAACACCATCAATTCCAAATGACTAGAAATATGTTAAGCGGCAAAATAAAACAACTGATTTTGTTCAGCCATTTAAACAAATCTGCAGAAAAAATAACTTTTTAAACATTAATTTAAACCAAAACAATTTAATCTAAAATTAATCTAAATAGTTTTACCCAAAACTAACTAACTAATTTAAACAAAAAAAAAATCTACACTAATATATAAACCATGCATGCATATTATTACTGTCAAATTCACGGGAGCATCCATATTATTACTACTAAATTTCAATTTAACATTATTAAAACAAAAATTCACAGGATCATACATATTATTGCATGTGTAATATATGAATCATGCATGCATATTATTCAAAAATTATTCGAACCCTAATATATGAATAAAATTTTTGAACCCTAATACATAAATAAAATAAATTACCTAGTACGGTTTCTTTCTTCCTTCCTTCGTTTATTTCTTTATTTCTTTCTTCTCATCTCCTTTCTCTTATATTTCTACTTTTCTTTCTTTCTTCTCCTCTCTTCTCTTTTCTATTTCTACCTTGCTCGAACCGCGACCATGTGTAATATATATAATAAAATTCGGGTGTCCTATATTATTGGGTATCATAGACTTAAATTATTGCTATCATTCCAGCTTTTGTAGCATTGGCCATTGCTGCTTCATGGGGAGCTGCGTGCAGGCCTTCACGGGCATTCACTGGAGCAGGGAGCATCGCTGAGCAGGGAGTAGGTATGCAGCGTTCAAGGGCATAGGGCAGTTCTGTATGGGCCATGCAACGGTGTCGCATGGCAGTCCATGCGTTGACCATGGGTATCGCATGGTAATCCATGCATTTTAAGTGTACTGTAGCATTCACCACATTTAAGCAAATAATTATACATAAGCATTATTCGACAATTTTTTTCAGAGCATTATTCAAAAAAAATTACCGTTGTCCTATACATTAATTTAATAATTTAATTATGTCAATAAAAAAATTAATTCTATTAAAAGCGTGTTGACATATCACATCTATTTTTCATTTTAAAAACATATGATATAGGTGACGTACTAATTTTTTTAATAGAATTAAAATTATTAAATTATTTCAATTCATGATTAAATTGAATAAATATTCTTTTAGTATACCAATTTTAAAATTATTGCATCATCAATTTCATGAACTGGTAAATGACTTGATTAAAATCAAATAAAAAATTAATAAATTAATTGATAAAACTTTTATTAAGTAATTAAAATGGAATTAATCTAATAATTTAGTGACCTATGAGAGAATTTTACCTAGAATAAAAAAAACTGAAACCCCTGACGATCAGAAGAAATAATGAATACTAAGAAAACAATAAATAAAAAAAAGGAGAAAAGACACCACTCCACTAACGTATCATAACACCTTTCAGTTTCTCTCTCTCTTCCCGCTTAGAATAGCTAAGTTCTGATCCCACTCTGCCTCACCGGAAATCCAAAAGTTGTTTTGATTGGCGAAATGGAACCAGCAAAAATCGACTGGAACAGAATAGACTCTCGCTTCGTTGAGGATTATGTTTATGAACACATCAACGCTCCCAAATGGGTTCATTTCTTAGCCATTGATCATCCCTCCATTGTCGATGATGATGATGATGTTGATGATGTCTGGTTCTGCACACCTGGTACCATTCCTTTTCATATCTCAAAATTCACTTCATTTCTTCATCATTTCACTTTCTTTTCTTTTCTATAACCATCCCAAGACCGCTGAGGATTTTCTTCCGGCCTCGGCCTCGGCCTCTCCTCTTTCCAAGGCTCCACCAAGTCGAAGCTCCCCATTTCGGGAACTGAATCAAGGGTATTGATCCAAACCCAGTTAACTTCACGGCATTGTTTGATTTCATTTTTTCATCGGAACTTCATTTCCTTTCTATTTTGGGGTTTGTTTTTGTTTCAGATATGGTAAGCTGAAGAGGAGGGCAAACCCAGATTCAATCTTCAGTTTTTTCTAAGGTTGATGATAATGAAAACCAGAACCCGAATTTATCAACCTCTCCTCCGAATCAGCAAGCTAATTCTTTGAAAGCGGCGATCAAGTCGAGCAGTGAAAGGAAGAAACCAACGGTGATAGATGATATTTCCCAGCCCCGAGTGGTGTGCTGCGGCAGCTGAAAAGTACTCTGTCCACTAGGAACTTGTTTGCTGGTAGGGATATACTGAGTCATATAAGCGAGTTTTGCAACGAGTTGAAGAAACTGGCTACCAGGGCAAGGGAGAGAGAAACAGAGGAGAAGAAGATTCAAGGTGAAGAGGCTGTGGTGGAGAAAGAGAGGAAGCCATTGCTCGAGAAACCTGTTGTGATGCAGAATGGAATTGACATTGCTAAAGAGAGAGAAAGGATTAAAGAGTGAGTTGAATCAAATTTTACTCAAGGCAAGACAAATGACTCTTTTGAGTTGCTGAATTTGATTTAGATATTGGATAAGAAAAGTTTGTTTATGTTGTGTGATATTGTGCAGAAGCAGAACACACGAGTCTGAAGCAGAGGACATTGCCCCTCCTCTCTCTCTAAATCTGGAGAATGTAAAGAACAAAGACAAAGAGTTGCTGCAAATACGGGTCAATCCACCCTCTCCACAGTGCTTTTCTGCTCCTATCAAAACCACTACCCCTTCGAAGGCTCCCATATCCAAAGTCACGGTATATATGAGATAGGATCCAATCTCACATCGTAGAACGATTTTTAATTTTCATAGGTTTGGATAGTTGAATGAGTATAAATAAACATATGAGATTAACAATAGAAAATGAGATGATATTTATTAAAGAAAAAAAAGGGTTAATCTCAACTTTTTATTTTCACTTATCCAACGATCGTAAATCTATATAAAATTAAAAAAATTTAGCATATACGATATGAATCTTGGTTGGAATGTGTGTATGTTTCTTTTAGATGATTGTTTAGCTTGTTTTATATTATATATTAGGCTCACAGTGTATCCATTATGTATTATACACATAATAGGAAATGGGGTTCCTTCAAGAAGTGAAGCAAAACAAGGATACCAAAACAGACAAACCTCGGAGCAGAGCTTCTACTGCTTCTGCTATTACTAATGTTGATGTTACTGATGGAAGCCAAGCAAGAGCGCTGGATGTATTTTGGTTCCTCGAGCCTTGCACACTGTCTGAGTAAACTATTTGGTAAAAGCCTGCCCTCTCTTTCTTAGTTGTATGTAGTTCATTGATTCGTTTGTTGCTGATAGATAAGAAACTGTAATCAATTCGTTTAATAATTTGTATTGAAAACCCCTTTTCAGTGAATAAAAGTTAATCCTTTTTCTTGACTGCAATATCAGTTTTGATTTAACATTCAATGCATTTAAGAAGCATCAACATTTAACATTGCTGATCAAGCATCTTCCCTGGTTATTGGCCTTCCTGGAATTTAAATCCACTGTACATATCTCATGTGTACCTATCCAAATACTAAGATAAAACTCAATACTGCCAATATATCATGACAAGTACGCAACAAAGCCCAAAGACAAAAAACTCAGTCATACTCTGGTAACATGCATGCTACAAGGATTACATATACAAAACCGTCTCTTTTACCTTAGTGGTTTTTTTTAATAATTTGAGTGATTAAAGGTAATATCTATTCAGAATATTTTATAATTATTGATAAACACACCCTTGACAACGCCCGCATAGATATAGTTGTTCAAATCTGAAATTTAAGAAAACACTATTTCATTCTACCTCTGAGGTTGTTTGATGTGTTCTACTGATTTAAATACAATTATTATATATGGTTTGCTTCTTTTTAATCTTTTAGACAATTCCCCGTTCTTCCTTCATCAACATATAAATAAACAGTTTCTAAAACCCTATATTTGCAGTGAGATTGATCATTAAAGTTCAAGCAAACATAAATGATAAAAAGGGAAGAATCTCTAAAATACATGATCAAATATCTGAACTCATCACCAACAAATACAATAACATCAAAAACCCTAAACGCTGGGATAATCAAAGTTCCTGATTTCACAAGCATAAGATTGAAGAATATACACACATATATACAAGAAACATACGTGGAACCACCAAAGGAATGTTTTACACTTTATTCCCTGCGAGAAGAAGAGCCGAGGCAAACAAAAATTAAATGTGTACCTTGAAAGAGACCTAATCTAAGCTCAAGTTGCAAAGCATAAAATCCAAGATCCTAGACCACACGAACCGCGCGCGTGGGTAAAGCCTGTGGGTATACACACGCGACTCCCTGGCCATACCCTCCATGGTCTCCACGAAGAGGTTGAAGCTTCTCACAGGTGGAACATATAGAATCAAAGGCGCTGCAGAGAAAGCAATCGTGAAGAACAGCTGCAACATCACGTATGATTCAAATGAAGCAGAGCGACAAAAACCCCCAAACTGATTTGAAGAACAGAACGGTGTGGAACCTGAAAGAAAAGTGTCGTGGAATGTTCTGGAGAAGGTGCAGGGTGTTGGAAAGCTTTACTTTTTGCAGGTTTGGTTGAGAAAACAAAGGATAGAAGAAAGTAGGGCCCTTCAATTAATTGTTGTCGATGGTGGAATATTTTATTTGTTCTATATATATCGCAAGTGATTAGATGGGCGTAAAAGTAAGGGTAAGTACACAATTCATCCCACAAAATGATTATTTGATTATTAAGTTTTATTTTATTAAATTTTTAGATTATTAAAAATTATAAAATAATAATTTAATTATTTATATATTTTAAATTTATCATATTCTATTAAAAATTTGATAGGTTTCTGAACTAGATGTTAATATATTGATTAAGATGTGATAAAATATTATCTTATAGCTATTTGACATGTATAGTTATTTGAGATTATAAGATAAGATTTTATTATATTTGAGTCAACATGTTAATATCTAACTCAAACTGTCATCAATTTTTAACGAAAATGATGAGTTTAAAACATATAAAAAATTAGGTGATCATTTTGTTACTTTTAATAATCGAAGAACTCAACATAACACTTTATAATCAGAGAACAATTTTATAAAAAGTAGAATCATATAATCAAAAACCATTTGTATATTTTTCCGTAAAAATAAATGAGTAAGATATTAGTGTCAATATTAAATTAATTAAATATTTTTTAAAGGTTTGTATCATAAATAAGTATTTAAAGTATATTATATTTTTTTTATTTAAGTGGCTAAAATATTTTTTTGGTCAAAATAAAAACCTAAAATTATTTTTTTAGTCAAAACATAAATTATTTTATGTCAAAATAGGTACCTAAATTATTCAAACTTTTTATCTAAGTTATAAAAAAGTTGACATGTGGGATTAATTAAAGAATATTTTAGGTACTTAGATAAAAAATTGAATATTTTAGGTACCTATTTTGATAAAAAAAAAACTTTAGACACTTGACCAAAAAGATAACTTTAAGTATTTATTTTGATCAAAAAAATACTTTAGGTAGTTAAATAAAAAAATTGTATACTTTAGATATTTATTTGTTATATAAGCATTTTTAAATAGTTGAAATTGATTATAAAATAGTACATATCCAAAAAAAAAAGTTTTAATTATTGATACACATCTATTCAAACTCAAAACTTTTAAAAAATAATAAAATTTTATTTTACCATTAATATAATTTAATAAATTCATCAAATATTATTTATTAGTCTCAAGAGTCAAGATCAACTTGATAGATATTAGTTAGAATTTAATACAAAATACATTTAAAGTTTGTAGAGAATATATATTAAATAACGACATGCTAGAAAAAGGCTTTCAATTAAGAAAAAAGTTGATATTTTTAAAGGATGACTATTATTTTAACATGTTTGATCTTAATAATCTATAGAATAGACATACGTGTTTAAACTTTGCTTTAAATCTTTTTTTATTAATTGTTTCACATCTTTTAAATATATATCATGTTATATGTTTTGTGTGTGAAGGGATATCATGCTATATTTAGATTTTATACGATATTGACCGTTAGGTGGATATAAGAATTTTATTTACATTGTATATGATATTGATAAATTGATCATACTTAAGTGGTATGGTAAATAAAAAATCAAACATTTAATAATTAGGTATTAAATTTAAGTTTTAATTTTTTTTGTTTTGGTATATTTATTAAGTTTATTATATAAATTTGTATATGAACTTGATAAGTTTTTAAGGGTAAACTATACTGACGACCCTTTAATTATTGTCAAATTTCATTTTAATCATCGATGTTTTGATTTAATCAATTAGACCACCTAATTATTTAAATGCTTCAATCAAGTCACATGCAATTAACATTTAATGGAGTAGGTGAGGTTGCAATTAAAACATTTTGATATAATTACACAATTGGTCCATATTACTTATATATTCTTCCTATTTTAATAAAATTAACCCTCGAATCAGGGGGTGCCATGTGTCATCAACCAAGGACACCTTGGATGATGTAGTAGGCAGCAAACCATTAAACAAAAGCAACTATTTCGTATAATTTTGACAACAAATAATATATATCTCGTATCTTATTATATAAACACTTTACTTAAATTTATAATATTTTATATTCTTAACTTTTAAAATTATATTTTACTTTTCTTAACTTATTAAATATTTATTCTCATTTTACATAAAAATATATATTTTAATATCATCTTCACTTAAAAGTATATTTTACTCTTATTTTAACTTAAAAATATAATTTATTCTTATCTTAATTTTCAAAATATATTTTTAAATTATTTTCTTTAAATATATTTTATTCTTAAGTTAAAATATATTTTGAAGTTAAAATATTTTAAAAATATATATTTTTAAAATTTAAGATAATAATTTTTAATTTAAAATAAGAATAAAATATATTTTTAACTAATGATAAGAATTATATATATATATATAATTCATTGAAATAAATATATATATATATATATATATATATATATATATAAATATATTTTAAATTAAAATATTTTTTAAAAAATATATTTTTAAGTGAAGATAAAGTTAAAATATATAGTTTTACATTAAAATAAAAACAAATAATATTTTATAAGTTAAGACAAAATAAATTATATTTTAAAATTTAAGATATATAAAATATTATTAATTTTGATAAATTATTTACATATTAAGTTACATGATATATATTATTTGTTGTTTAAATTATAACAAATGGTTTCTTTGGCTTTGTGGTTTGGCACCTAGTACATCACCTAGCTAGGGGTCCCTTGTTTAACTCCCCTTGCCCTCATGTGCATTGATTTATTTTATTTCATCCAGAGAGTGACTTGTGTCCTCCTCTAATTGAAAAATAAATTTGTTTTATGACATTTGTCACCAATGACACATGACACTATCTAATTTGATGGATAAATTTATTTTAATTTATGAAAATTATGACCAAATTTAAAGGATATATAAGTAATATGGATAAATTGTGTAATTATACCAAAATATTTTAACTGTCACGTCACCTATTCCGTTAAATGTTAACGACAAGTGACTTAATTGTAGCATTTAAATAGTTGGATGGTCTGATTGATTAAATTGAAACATCAATGACCAAAATAAAATTGGCCAATAATTAAGTGGTTATCAATGTAGTTCACTCTTTTTTAAATTGATATTAATTTTTTATCTGAAATTGGTACGTAATTTTTTTTTATCTCAAATTGACACTTAAACTTCATTATCTCAAATTGATATCTAAACTATTTTTTTTAATTAGTACATGTGTTGACTTGATATACTACTAATATTCAATTAAGTTAATAACGTGACATTAATTATTCAAATGATGATATTATTAAGAGTCACATGTTATAGTTTGATTGGTTATTAAAACATCACTTCAACACCATTTATCAATTTGAGAAATTTTCCAAATTGATGTACAAATATGGGAATCCTTTTCAAGTTCAAGATGAGAGAAAAAAACTTAGATATCAATTTAAAAAATATAAAATTTGGGTATTAATTTGTATAATAAATATATTGTTTTAAAATAAGTATTAAATGTAATCACGTTGTTTGTTTTTTAATTAATAATATTGAAAAAATAAAAAAAATTAAAAAGCGAGCGTCTACAAAAAGTATGATTATACCAACCATGTTAGTTGGCCATATCCCCTAAAATTATCAAAATAAAAAAAAAATAGACACT